GTGAGGAAATGGAGTTTTTCATGCTACTGTGGCGGGATGGGTACGAGGGAGCCACTCCAGGCAAGGTTTGCCGTCACATGAGTTCTCAGCCTCCCCTAAGACTCCGCGGTGAGGGGGTCAGCCATACAACCTGTGCGGAGCAGGACAGGGAGTGGCTCTCCTGGGACGAGCTCCTGTCTGTGACGCCACTGGCGGGGCTGAGGGTGCCACAGCAGTGGTGCAGCTGGACCCACAGGGCAGGCCCTGGGACTTTCCTGAGCACGTGGGTGTGCGCCTGCTCAAGTGCCCATGATGCAGGCCGGCGGGACGAGGAGTGGACGGGGACGCTGCCGTGGGTGCCGCTCATAGAAAAAACAGATGCCCTTAAAAAGGGCGGCTATAACGGAGTGTCTGCATGGGTGGTCCCAGAGTGGTCCTGACCACGTTCCGAGCCACCCGGCCCTGCCACGCCAGACCTGGGAGCCGCGAGGGTGGTCCTGGTTTTGCAGAAAGCCCTGCAGGAGAGTCTGCACCGGCTGTAGAACCGTGGCACGCCTGAAGCGAGCTGTGTCCTGGGCCCGCCCCAGCACTACGGAGGGCATGATGTGGGGTCAGGGGAAGGGCCTGGGTTTGGGGCGGCAGGGGCCCGGCAGGCCTTGCCCAGGCTGTGGCTGCGATAGCGCGCTTGTCTCGATGGAAGCCTCAGTCCCCGCGTGTGCTCTGGCCCAGCTCTCTACACTGCAGGCAGCCCTGGGCAGACAGCTTACCCCCTCAGCCTCTCCAAACAGCCCTGCTCCAGGAAAAGAGCCAGGCTCCAGGTCTAAGAATGCCAGGGTTCTGCTGCCTCGGGAGGGGAGAGGTTGAAAGTCACAGGTTGGGCTGGGTGGTGGTGCCATGCTGCACAAGGCTGACCCACCCGGGAAGGTTCTGGGTTCATAGTGGGAACCCTGAGTATACTGGGCCTGCCCGTGACTGGGGCTGGCTGAGGCTGGGCACTGTGGTGAGGGCCCTGTAAAGGGGCCAACTCTCTCTTTTGCACATGGAGGAAATAGTTAAATTAAATAAATAAATAAATAAAAGCCAAAGACCACTTTCACATCATCTGCCAAAGTGCATCAGCCACTGAGGTGCTGCAGGCCCTCAGCAAGCCCTCAGCCCGCCGACGGCCCGGCCAGCACCACACACCCAAGGCCGCCTGCGTCCCGACAACCAGCAAGACAGCCGCGGGCTCCGTTCTGTTCAGTTTATTGGCTACAAGCGGGTGGACAGCACATGCAGGCACAGGAGCCTGAGGGCCTCCGTGTGCAGGGCTCTGACTTGCATGGACCTCGGTGACACGTGGCATGGACAGGCAAACCTGGAACACGGCACAGGGCATCCGGGGGCAGGTGGAGGATATGGGCAGTTAAATTACTAAGCCATTCTTTCAGGATCAAAATACTTCAATGAAAAAGGCATACATACAAACAACATAAATTACATAAGGTCTGTACATGATTCTTAAAAAAAAATAACAGTACTGTGTTCTGTACAATATTGCTTCCTCTGAACATTCAAACCCGAGAAACACTTTCCTCTGAATTCCAGGAAAGTGAGCAAAATACATATGTAGTATAATTAAAACCATTTCACAAAGATACAGAATCGCGTCGGTCTCCTCAAAGGCACACTGTGGTAACACTGGGGCCCTCCGTCTCAGAAGGCCCTTGCTCTCAAGACCCTGGCGGAGGGCAGGGGCACTGCCCTCTTCTTGCCGGTCTCTGCTAATGGAGAAGGCTCCTGGCAGGAGCAGCAGAGAGGAAGGGCACCCCCTCCATCCTCAAACCCACCCCCGGTCACTGGTGGTCTGAAATCCCTAGGCGTGTCCTGAGGCCGTTGCAGGTGCTGTCAGACGTTCGGTCCACGCACAATATGAAGACACCACCTGTTTTCTCACAAAACCTATGCTGCTCTCAGATCTGCTGCTGGGACAGCTGCAGGCAGCCTCGGGTCACTGCCATCCTGCAGCAGAGGAAGCTGAGGTGACGGGCTCCCTGCCTGCCCATGGGCCCCGCTGGCGAAAACCACCTCCAACCCGACGGGCCTGCTGCGGCTGCTTCACGTGTCAAGTGTGGGCCAGGTGGGGGTCTCCCAGCGCCCGGTCTGCAAACCAGCCCTCAGTCCTCGGGCTCGAGTCTCTCCAAGGTGGCTGAAGTCCTGATGGAGTGGCAGTGGGGCTTCTCCTGTGCCCTGGGCCCCATGCCCCTCAGGCCTCCAGCTGCACCTGGGCCTCGTCCACCTGCAGCGTGTCACTGTCTCCCAGCAGCTCGGTCTCAGGGACAGAGCCTTCCTCTTCCTCCTCCGCTTCCTGCACAGGGCTCTGGGCTGCGTCTTCGGGCACATTCTGTGTGTCCTCGGTGCCCTCCGAGAGCAGGGCTGCCCTGTCTGCCACGGACGTGTTGGAGGGCGCCGTGGTGACGTAGCCCGTGCTGGTGGAGCCACTGCCACTGTGGTGCGAGCTGGGCTTGGGGACCAGCGGAGGGGGCACCTGCTGCGGGGCCATCTGCACTGGGATCTGCACGGGGTAGAAGTTGGGCAGGTAGGCGCCGTAGGCTGGCACGGGCTGGTAGCCGTTGACGGGGATGTAGAGCTGGGGCGGGGGCACCAGGGGTCGGATCTGGCCCTTCATGGGCAGGAACTGGGGCTGCGGGAAGGGCTGGGCCTTCTGCTTGGGCCCCACGTAGCGCGCGTTGCTCACGGTGCTCACGGGGCTGGTGCTCAGGGAGCTGGTCTGCGTGGTGTTGCTGGCTCCCGAGGTCTGCGCTGAGCTGTTGTGGCTGGACAGGTTGCCCCAGGCCCGCAGGCGGCTGTGGATGTCCTGGAAGCGGGGCCTGCGGCTGGGGAACTCGTGCCAGCACTCGATCATGAGGGCGTACACCCAGGCCGGGCAGTCGTCAGGGCAGGGCAGCACCTGGCGGCCGCGGATCATCTCCACCACGTCCTGGTTGGAGTAGCCGCAGTAGGGCTGCAGGCCGTAGCTGAAGACCTCCCAGAGCACCACGCCGTAGGCCCAGATGTCCGAGTCCACCGAGAACTTGCCGTACATGATGGCCTCGGGGGACATCCAGCGGACGGGCAGCAGCGACGTCCCCATCAGCTTGTAGTAGTCGGCCGAGTACACCTCGCGGAAGAGGCCCAGGTCGGAGATCTTCACGGCCAGCTTGTCGGACACCAGCACGTTGCGGGTGGCCAGGTCCTTGTGCACCACGTGGTGGCTGGACAGGTACTCCATGCCGGCCGCGATCTGCACCACCACGTGCACGAAGTCGGGCAGCTCCAGGGCCGACCTCACCGTGCGGTCGTCGTCCGTGCTGCCCACGTCCGAGTGGGGCGAGCGCATGACCAGGAACTCGTGCAGGTCGCCGTGCGGGCAGTAGCTGAAGACCATGCTGAGGGGCTGGTCCTTGGTCACCACGCCCAGCAGGCAGACGATGTTGGGGTGCTGCAGGCGCGCCCGCAGCATGGCCTCGTGCCGGAACTCCTCACGCAGGGGCCCCTCCGCCTTGTCCTTCAGCGTTTTGATGGCCACTGCCTGGGTCTGCTCCCCCGGGGCGGGCCCAAACAGGTGGCCTTTGTAGACCTTCCCGAACCGGTCCTCCCCCAGCTCCTCCATGAACCGCACTGCGGACAAGCTGATCTCTTTGAGTTTGGCCTGTCGAGAAGAAGAAAACCGAAATGAAACATTCCTGGCACACAGTACCGGAAGAACAGGGCAGCTGGAGGGGCTGGAGGGGGCGAGGGGAGGTCCTGGTGCTGCCGTCTCTGCCTTGGCCTCGCAGGGGGCCCAGGGCTGTCCCCTCAGCCTCGGCCTGCAGGACACAGGCCTGATTAATCTTAAACATGATCCAGACACAACGTGGCCTCCCGTGTGGGATCTTCGGGGATCCTAACCAGACTACAGACACCACTGCGGGCTCCCTGCTTGTCTGCGAGTGTACCTGCTCGCTCACACGTGTGCATACAAGCCCAGGCTGAACCCCAGCGGCATGTCCCCTCTGGCTCCCATGTGCCTGCCACATTGCAGCAAGAACCGCTGTGGTCTCATGCCCCGAGGGCCCTCCCACGATGCCTGCCTTCCAGGGCTTTATCTTTTTAGAGTCCAGGCCAGGGCCCGCTGCCCCTTAGTGGGCCTGTCTCATGGTCCCACAGGTGACACGTGTGCTCAGAATCTTGCTTCTCCCTTGGCCTCTCTAACGCCCACCCCTCTGTGCTGCCAGCCCTGGTCCCTGTCACCAGTCATGGGGCTCTGTGGCCTCTTCACTGGCCAAGCCAGCCCCCACCCAGACACGCAGCTGCAAGGCTGTGGTGCATGTTTGCATCGGATGCACCTTGGTGCCCCTCCACCGCCGCCAAAGAGCTCTCAGAGGGGAGGAGCCGTCGGGCGGCCCGATTTCCTACTTCTGCTGTAAGACCGCTATTCAGGCCCAGGTCGGCGGTGCAGAGAGCGCCACCACTTGGGAAGCTGGGAGCTCACGGGAGGCCCAGTGTGGTTCCTGGGCAACCCGAACATCCTGGGCACGCTTGGAATCCTAGCTGCCTGGGAGGCGGAGCAGGAGGATCACGACACAGAGACACCCCCCCCC